CCCTCTGATCAGCAGGGCATGAACACGTGAAGAAACACCCCTCCACATCTGATAACCATCTCATAGCAACGATCGAATCCTGTACTCCATCAAAGGTGGGAGGCTCCGTATTATCGAAGTCCCGATACTGAAAACCTCTACTAGCTCCCCCCTGCCGCTGCTACAGCCGATGTAGCCGCCGCGGCAGCCGTCTCAGTGAGAGCCGCATAGCGCTCATCAAAATACTCCACCATGGCGGTCTTGGTCGACCCAAACAGTTTCGGCAGCTCGGCCCGGAACAATGCAACAACCTCATCATGCAGGATCTCACGAATCCTCGCATCCAAATTGCCTGTGCTCATCTGACCAACAACTTCGGGCGGTACGGACCCACCCGAAACTCCCTCTCCTGCTGCCGATCCTGATCCGGATCCACTCCCAGCATGCCTTGAAATCTCCATACTAAAAATAAACCACCAAACTCTCAGACACTTCCCACTATCCCGGGTACCAATTCTCAACCCAACCCTAGAGGTCATGGTTTCCCTGATACGCGTATGGGTCCTGTGCTTTCAGTAGTACGGGCCCATACTACCTTCCACACCTACCCATATTTGTACGAAGTACTACCACAACCCCCCCAGCGAAAACATACATAACAACGCTCTACCGTCACTAGAAATCTCTCACAAGGAAACCCTAGGCTAACAGGCATCATAAATCAAGCAACACATCATGAAATCCTGAAGATCCCTAGCCTAACACTAGCATGCTGTTCTATCAAAGCTCAATAAAACAAATATCATGTATGGTATTTTGGGGTTACTTACTGGCTCCGGCTGATCGTACCTCCGCGTCCTCCCTTGCTTATTTTGAAAACCATTTTAAATTATCTTTTGAAAACCCTCCTCGATTTTAGACTGGAGTCACACAACTGTTCCTCCAATTCACTCAAACCAAGGCTCTGATACCAACTTGTAACGACCAAAATTTCAACAAAATTTAAACTTTTCAAAAACATGTCATTTCATTAAGTTATTACAAAAAGGTTTTCAATACATTTATTATCAGAGCATTCCCAGGTCCATATCATAAAACATAAACGCGAGGAGCGGTACGATCATGCCTTCGCCTTGACACGGTCTCCTGAAGAACCTGAAAAAAAACATTAAACCACAACTGTAAGCCCGAAAGCTTAGTGAGATACCCCCAAAATACCAACCACATATACCATACACATAACATGTTATATCGTAACGAATCACAGAACAACCATGCATATCGGGTCTACTGTGGGACTGGTCCGCCGCATCGGGCCTTCAGTCCACCTGGTCCACCCTCCGAGTCCAGTCATGTCCCTCGAGTCTGTAGTGTGGTTGGTCCGCCCGCGTTGGGCCTTCAACCCACCTGGTCCACTCTCTGAGTCTATAGTATGACTGGTCCGCCCGCATTGGGCCTTCAGTCGGCCTGGTCCACTCTCCGAGCCTCGACACGTCTGGTCCGCCCTCGTGGGGCCTACAGCCTATCCGGATCGCTCGTTGGGCCTTCAGAACAATCGGTCCGCCATGGGTATCTTGTCCCACAACATAAAGTAGGACCCACCTCAACCCAAATCTAGTACAAACAACCATGTGCACATAATATACAATCATATAACAATTCATAGTCCACAAACCGATCAAACAGATCACATAACATATCATTACCCTAACCAGGATACCGACCTAACCGGTCACTAGCATAGCATCACTCCACATATCAGGAAATCAACCTTAACCAGGTCTCTAGCATATACCATCCTAGTTACCAGGATGCAGACATATCAAAGCAATAACATAACAACCATATCCGAGTCTCAATCCAATAAAGGGACGACCTTGGTGCCTTAGTCACTGTCGATATAGTGAGGATAACTCACCTCGCAACTGCTGACTGAAAGGATAAGATCACGCTGCTGCAACCTCCACCTGAACTCCAACACTATCAATACCCAAAAGACTGAATCCAATAAATACCAATAATTACCAAATTACCCCTAGGAGTCAACTGGTCAACCCTTGGTCAAAGTCAGAGTCAAAGTCTACCCCTGACTGACTCTACTCGCCAAGTCAACCCGATGACTCGCTGAGTCCTTCAATTCGCGACTTAACTCGCCGAGTCATCCCTTGACTCACCGAGTCACAGCCTTCCCAAAACAAACTTGGACCCTACGAGCAGAATCGTCGAGTCCAAGAACAGACTCGCCGAGTCTACGACTGTCTTCAACCTACTCGCCGAGTTGTTCTTCCAACTCGCCGAGTTCCAGGCCATCTTCATCCAACTCGCCGAGTCCACCCATGTGACTCACCGAGTACCACCGGGTCTGAATCCATACAGAGGCTTTCCAAGCCATGCAGATGATCCAAACCATAGATCTACCCCTCCTAAGGCCATCCATCACGTAAAGTGGCAAACTTTACGTGAATCCAAAGAGATCTAGGCATTTTACCCTTTAGGACTAGGGTTTGGGATATGATGGCTTCACCAATCACTCAAGAACAGGGACTTTAATGCACTTAAGACCTTCTCCACTCCAGATCTGAGGTAGCAACCTCAGATCTATTCTTCAAACTCAAGATACCACAAGCTAAGCCTCCCATACATTCCAAGAATCATGAATCTAGAAGAATAACAGCCCAAGAACGAGATTATACCTCAAAAGGAAGCCCCAACATCAATGAAATCTGAATCCAAGCAAAGCCCCTTGCTCCAAGCCTCCTAACTCCCGAAGATCTTCCTTCAAATCTCTTTTCCAAGGTCTAAATGCACTCAAAATCCTTCACACTCGCATTTTCTAGGGGTTTCTGGTCTTAAGGGAAGGTAAGGAGACTAGGAAGAGGGCATACTGTCCTTTATATAGGGCTCATCCTCCGAAATTAGGGTTTTCTCCACCTAGCACCAACTCGCCTAGTCCAGCCGCCGACTCGCCGAGTTGGCCACCTAACACGCGACCAAAATCGCGACCATACTCGCCGAGTCCACCCATGGACTCGCCGAGTTTCCCTTCAAATTTACACTTTTAGCCCTTTAATTTTACTCTTGATATTCCAGGATGTTACATTAACTATTTGGGTAATTGCATATTTCATTAAGAATGTCTGGTAGTTCACCATTTTTGATTTATTTTCAAGCATTATGGAGCGTGGAGGATGGAACTTGGAGACATGGAGCTTTGGAGCATGAAGAGAAGATGAAACAATCATTCCATGGCAAAAAACATGAAGACATAACCCGAGTCATTGTTGCATTGTCATCGTAGTAAAGGACTACATTTGAAACGCGGTTCTTGTCGTACCGACACGGGTTGTGTTTGTCCTTTGTTATCTCGTAGTTGAGCAACATGACTCGTGGTGAAGTTTGACAGAAGATGGAGCTAACAGTGAAGACTTATTTGTGTTAAGCAAAAAGCATGAGCCATGTCAAAAACACATGGTCAAGACAAATGGCCATGACAAAAAAACATGGGCAAAAGGCATGGCCATGCCAAAAACACATGACCTCATGTCATGCATGTGAACATTATTTAAAACAGGAGGAGACGTCATTTTTTGAAAAAGGCGGTTTTTGGAGCAGTTTTGGGTGATCTTGGGTGATTTTAGGTGAATTATTGGAGTTTTTGAGAAGACCTAATCATTGCAAACACTTTGGATTTCATTTTTGTAAGGATTAAACATTCCAATTCCATCTTTATTCTTGTCTAATTTCTTCTTAGCCATGTGTGGCTAAGAAACCCTAGTTTCTAGTTCTTGTTCAAAACATGTTGATTGCTCGACTTGAAGCATATGATTTGATGTTTGATTTGTGATTCTATTCTAGTGATTATGTTTTTGTTTAAACTAGAGCCCTTAAATTTGATTTGTGTTTGATTGGCCACTTTCATGAATTGAATTTTTGTGCAGTTAATTAGCTTTTAGGGCACCTAAACGTTCTATTAAATTAATAATTGGTAACAAGCAATAAGTTTTCTTATTGTAAAACATATATCACATGTTTTCACACTTCTGAGCGTATGAGAAGAAATGAACATTGTTGGGAAGCTTGTACGAAACTTAATGCGGTTTTCAATACAATCTAAGAGCGTGTTTAGGTTGAATTAGTAAAGACAGGTCTAGTCAAAGAGCGTGTTTTGGTTAGATAATTTGGAAAGCAAGAGGTATTAGAGTGTGTTAATATCTTTTAGTACCAACTTAGAATAGCAATCTTGAATTAAATCAAGTCATAATCAAGTTGGACAACAACATTGAGAACTAGAACTGGAAGCACTTTTACAATTTGCTTACAAATATGTTTTATTTTGTGCTTGCTTTTAAAGTAGATTGTTATTTTATTATTTCACTTTTACAAACAAATCCCTTTTCTTGTGATCAAAGTACCTTGTGTAAAGAGGTATATACTTTTGTCCTGTGTCTCTGTGGTTCGACCCTGCTTGCCTTGTACTACTTTTTGGTGCATTAATGCAATGTATTTGGACTCTATTGTACCCCTTTATTTGTTGGGTTTGAGACGCCTAACAATAAGTTCATGAATCTAAGTAGGGACAGGGCCCGAGCTTACTAGAGCGAGCTCCCAGGCTAAATTGAAAACATTATGGATAAGAAAGAACACCCCATGAACTTAAAGAGATGATACTTTGGGTCCCAAAGACTTGTCAAACAGATAGGAATTACACTCACTAAGTTCCTAAGGAAAACACTCATCATTTTTGGTGCAAAAAATAGAAAACCAAAACTACCCCAAAGGCTGACACTAACCTTTGGGAAGAATCCACACCCAGGATGGCCAACACAAACCACATGGGATGACATATAAAGAAACGTTAAATAAAGAACAACCATAACATTAGCACTACACATAAAAAAAAAAAAGAGGAAATGTATTGTTCGCCGGACATTCCCCGGACTTAGACAAAGGCCAAACAGGGCCAAAATCAAAGCAAATGTTGTTCAAACTTGTCTTTCAAACATCAAAGAGAAGATAAAGGATCACTTACCAAGAGGACTGGAGGAGGGCCTGAATTTAGAGGAGCTACCTTTGGGTTGGTTGTCTTCAGTGTCAGAATCGATGCATAATCGACGGATGCCTTCCATATGGAGCACGCCAAGACGAAGGTAGTAGGCAAAGCGCGTCTCCATGAAGGCCTTCATAGAGGCATGCATCACCTGGATGTTCTCCACAATAATTCTTAGCTCCCTGGGGTTAAACTTCTCAATAGAAACTTGCTCCTGCATAACTTGTTTTCCACCCTCCACATCGGCGGCCATACAGGCCGCCTTCATCCGCCTGACCCCAAGTGAGAACTCATGATTCTCATCTATTTGGTCTACAACACTGACGACCACCTTATTGAGGAGCCATGCCATATATTCTACTTGGACTTTCCTCTTTGACCCCTCTATATCCAGCTTCTCATGCTACATCTTCACCCTCCTATCCAATTCCACTTTCTTTAACTCTAAACCTTCTACCCGATATGACAAATGCTCCACTTTCATGTCCAGACTCACTACATGATCTTCCATAAATGCCTTCTCCCCATCCAGCAAATCATAACACTCCTTGAACTTATACTTCTCTTTTTCAAGGCTCAGTACCTTCCACTTTAGCTCGTCATACTCAGACTTGATGGCAGTAAAGTCTGCCAAGTCCGAGCTGATGTGACGAAGGTGTCCAGCCGCCATCACCAGTTAAGAGGCAACCTGAACCAATGCATATTGTAAGTTGTTAGCCATATGGGAGTTGTATAGAGCTCCAAAGCTTTAATAGTGGCCGGAAGGAAAGTGTAACGTCCCGTTCCTGGTACCTATTTATTTTGATTGAATATTCCTTTTTGGAAGAGCTACTCGGCGAGTTGTAGCCCTAACTCGCTGAGTAGATGTCGAGTTGGATGCGGGCTTTAAGTGATCTACTCGGCGAGTCCACGCCTAGACTCGGAGAGTAGGCCAGTTAGGAGGGGACCCTAATCCTTAGGGTTTGCACCCTATTTAAATGTCCTTATAGCCCCATCTCAGCCTCCATCACCCTCAGAGCATTCCTTATCAAAACCCTAGCCTCCATTGGTAAGTTTGAGTGATTGTTGCCTTGTGAAGGGACTTTTGGTGCACATTGGAGCTAGTGGAAGATGGGAGAGGTTGAAGAGGTCAAGGAAGGGGACATAGATCCAGAACACATTCGTTTGTGGTCATCCATTATGGTAATAAAGTTTCCAGCTTGATTATTGATCTATTAGATCTTGTTTGTCCCTAAATTGTTGCTTTTAAGCCCTAAAACCCCAAATCCTTGTAGAGAAACCTTATGGTTGGGTTATACTACAGATCTGGACTCTCAGTACATTCTAGAAGTGTTAAGTTTCAGTCATATTGGTGATTAAGGTCCCTCTTGAGCTTAGAACCCCATTAAGAGCTTAGTTTGGACATTTGAAGCCCCTAAAGCCATGCATGCACGTAAAGTTTGCAACTTTACATGATAATCATGCCCTAGAAGCCTAGATCTGTGGTTTGGAGCCGCTACATGGCTCAAATAAGGTCTGTATGGAAAAATGACTGAATGAACTCGGCGAGTCCTATGAAGATAGCCGTGAACTTGGCGAGTCCGATGAAGATTGCCTTGGACTCGACGAGTTGTTCTTCAACTCGGCGAGTCGGATGAACTTGGACTCTGTATGTGTGCATCGAAGAAGAATGCGTCGAGTCATCGCCAAGCTCGACGAGTAGAACAGGTATAAAACTAGAACAGATGGAAGGGACTCGGCGAGTTGGCGAGCCAACTCGGCAAGTCCGGTCAACCAGGAAGTTGACTTTGACCAGGAAGTTGACTTTGATCAGGGGGTAAAATAGTCATTTTACCCTAAGATTGGTTATTAGTATCTGACTTAGTGCTTATGGAAATTGTAGTCGGGGAGTTCCGGTTCAGCAGTTAGGTGCTTAGCAAGCAGACTTTCAGCAGCTACTTCGAGGTGAGTTACCTTATAGTAGTAGTGGGTCTAAGGCCACAATGTCAGCCCCACTAGTAGGAATTGTATGATTAGATGATTGTCTCTGTGATATTCATCTAGGGTTGCCACTACCCGTGTTATGTTTATGTGTTTGTACTATATGATGCTATGTGCTAGCGATAGTAGGGGAGATAGTCCCCAGGTTACCGATCGACTAGGCCGAAGGGGCAGTCATGCCCATCCATGCTAAATAGATTATGTGATACGTGTTATATGGTAGTGGTAGGGGTGAAATAGTCCCCAACATCCGGTCGAAAGGACCGAAGGGGAGACCAGCACCCATATATGCTAGTTAGTATCCGGTTGAAAGGACCGAAGGGGAGACCAGCACCCAGATATGCTTGTCAGTATCCAGTCGAGAGGACCGAAGAGGAGACTAGCACCCAAATATGCTAGTCAGTATCCTGTTGAGAGGACCAAAGGGGTAGTTCAGGCACCCAGATATGCCTGACAATATTTGTATGCTATGTGGTTATTTGGTATGTGGTACGATGGGTGAAGTCACTAAGCTTCTTGCTTATGGTTTTTAGTTGTTGTTTCAGGTACCTCTTCAGCCAAGGGGAAAGAGATGGCATGGTAGCGGCATATCACACACACGCTCTTGTTTTTCCGCACTATGAGACATCTGGGATTTGTACTATGATATTATTATGATTTACGTTCTGGTTTACAAACACGAGACATGTTTTATTAAATGATATGGTCGAATGATATTTTGTTACAAACGTTTTGCAAATCACTTAATTAAAAATGAAATTTTTGGTCCATAATTTTTGGGATGTTACAGAAAGCGTGACGACTCCACTCGTATGCAACTGAATGTTGCATAAGTAGATACTTCCGAGTGAGCGTCCACTCTAGGAAGAAGACACCGAAAGTAAACGAAGGAGTAGGAGGAGCACCCGCATCAGCATCATCCCTCAAAAGAGATGAAGTAAAACCATAGGAGTTTGGAACTTCACCCCCTAGCTCCTTCCCAAGATCGCCACCACCAAGATCAATGATTTCATTTGGCTATTCTTTTGGGCCATGAGGCGGTTCTATTGCCCCAATGTCCACCCCCTCCGATAGTTTCGAAGCATCCTCATTGGGGATGGTAATCAAAATGTCAAACTCCACAGCCAAAAGTCCACATTACATCTCTATGAAGATGTTTTCCAATAGTACTGGCACCAATGTCTCTGAAAAGAGGGGAGTCCATCTAATCTATCCGCTGCTTGGTAGTTGCTCGACTGCCACCAATTGTCACCTCTTTCGATGAATTATCTTCATAGTTCTGAGGTGTAGGTTCATCACGAGAAACACCCTCGAAAACTGCATCCACTAGCGCCATATCAACTTGAGGACCATGCACACCATTCCCAATAACAGGGGAGGCAACAAGTGCCAGGGCTCGATCAGTTCTAACAGGCGGCGAGAGGATCTCCACTAAAGGTACCTCACGGTACTAGAGGGTACCCTTGAACTTGCCCTGCAACACTATTTCAAAGGGAAAAAAAATCCTCTCATAACCTACAAATGCAAGAAGTAAAACGACATGAGTAAACCGATTCCCTTACAAATATATATTTGGGGAGGAGAGGAGGGAGGATAAGAACACTTACCATCCTTCTTAACGAAGTACCGAGGCATCATCCATCAATCCCTCCATTTGATACTCATCCTAGCCGTGACTGGGATGTGATCCTCCCAGTCTTCCCCAGTGCAGAAACCCCCCAACGTCTGTGTCACGATTAAACTAGCAACCCGCAGTTTGGGCGACCAGTCAGAGTAATCAGTCCTTTGGGGATAGCCGTAACCAACCAAGTTGCGCGTTCACCCAAAACCAATTATCTTGCCAAATCTTTGTGGTTGCTTTCTAGTTAACGATGAGCGCATGAATGTACCGCCTTTAGGATAAGGTGTGAACATGTTGTGACATGGGCTCAGGCCGTCAGGTCTTCTGTGTTGGTTTTGGATCGGAGGTTTGGAGGTGGTACCATAAGCGGTTTTTTGGGTAGATACCTCAGCATAAATCACAAAAAAGTCATTAACCTTTCCATAGGGACTGTTCCCCGAGAGCAAGCTTCGAAGATCAAGTTAGACTGGGTGGTAGAGAAAAGATGGTTCTTCCTACCTGAAGAGAACCACCTTGGTGAAGTGAAGGATGTGTGTTTATCCATGGCAATTGTTTAGAGGCTAAGAGACTAAGGGAAAGTCCAAGTTTTTGAAGATACCCCCTCAAGGAGGAGGACTTATTATATTTATAGGTGACAATTAGGTCAAGGGTGAATTGGGTCAGAACTTCAGACAACCCAACTGGCAGGCGAGTGCCAAGAGAGCGCCAAGCAAGGCTGGCATGCCACGTCTTGATGTTTGGACCATGGTAATTTACCATACATTAACAAGTCCCCCCGGTCCGATGTGATTGGTGAGGGGCCAATGACATTGGACTGGATACAGTCACAACAATAATGCATTAAAGAGATAAAAGGGTCAATCGAACCTTGAAGATGTGGTGTTGCGTGATAGGTATATGAAGAACTAGCCGGCTTGATAATCCTTTCTCTTTATGAGTATGATTTGATCAATGTAATACAATGTAGCTATTGTCGATAATGTGATGCAAGGAAGGGCTGGTAATGCCATGATGCTATGTGACAATGGTGTCGATGAGATGTTGGGCCAAGGTAGCTAGGAAGCACGACCCCGCCATACAGTTTCTGAAATTTTTATTTGGAGTAGTTCTCATACCAAGCTTCGAAGTTCATAAAGAAACTATAACGTACTCGATCCACAATTCTTGCCTCCTAGTCACGCCTGAAACTTGTCCATAGCAACTTTTAGGAAAATGCGGATGCTTCGACAATGGGGGATGAGATCCATGGATAGAGTCGGTTAGCAGGTTATATTTCTATTCCCATGGGGAAACTTTTGTGAGTCCCATGTAAATGCTTTTCAGATCGAGCTTTGCTCTGTGAGTGTGCTATGAGATTCCTTAGAGCTTTCTCATGCTTAAATTTGGGTGTTTAGGCCTATAACACTTGTGCTTTTCTCATTCTACGAGTTTCTCTGAGCTTTGGCTTGAAAGAGTGTACTTAGTAATTAAGAACAGATTCTCAGGCTTGATGGTATGGCTCTGATCATCACAACATTGGAGCAGTTATCCGAAGAGATGACACGATCAAATTATAATTCAATTCGAAATTTCTATCATGATTGTTTTCAGGACAATTTGCAGAGTAGCAATAATATCATACAACTCTTCTCCCATTCCCCTTTTTTCTTCAAAAACAGAGTGTTCTGGGATACAACACTTATTCTGAAAGCATATCTTGTTTAGCAGGGTCATGGCGTGTGAACGCTTGGGCAAGGTTGATTTTTGTCTTGTAGACTTTGGCGGATGTATGTTTTCTTGAAGTTGCTTTCTTTGGTGCTAGACGGTTCATGCTGGTTTGGTTTCTTCTCTAAGGATAATGTTGGTCCATGAGATTTAAATGTTCATGTTTTCCCATCAGAGGGATTTCTTTCCAAAGATTTATGTTAGCCTTAGGAATTAGCTAGAATTGATTCCTACTTTCTCTGTGAGGTGTTCAGATTCGAAGGATCCTGTCTTTTTCCTAATTGAGAATTTATTTGTACTTATCCAAAGTTCTTTGGCTTTGTCCCAGGAGTTCTCACTCGTAAGCTTGGAGCTCTTCTTTCCTT